AAACATACACTACACTACTACACAAGCCGGGAGACCGGCGGAGAGCTTAGGACTTGTCCCGGCTGGTGCGGTGCCCCGCTGGCAAAAGATGGTTGGAGGAAACCCCGCTAACCAGCGGTAGGGACAGTGCCGGATCTCGCCATACAGCATGGTGGTGGTTGTGGTGGTGGTGGTATCACTGCTAACTTCCGAGGAAAAATTGTACTACATTTACGGGACTCATGACCCTAACGTTGACTGTCCGGAATCACTAACAATCAGTAAATTAGATACTTATCAAATCATTATATTACGAAATTATTACAGAATCATTACAAAATCAGTGGAATCGTTCAGGATGGAGAGTGGAATCAAAATATCAGTATTGAAAGAAGTAACCAACCTCGTAGAACAGACTCCAACTTTTTGGCCCATTTTTGCAATATTTTTAGGGGCATTTTGTTTGTTTGTTTGTTTGTTTCTTGCTTTGTGGCGCATGCGCGCACGTGTGCGCTTCACTACAACTGCGCCCTGTGCGCCATTACGTCCACTGGGAGTGAGAACGGAAGCGAGGTCACGGAACGGGGTGGCAGTCCAGGGGATGGTTCTGGAAAGAGCCCGCTGGTGCATAACAATCTCGAGGGAGCAGCCGGCACGCACGCGAGATTCTAGCTGCACGTGTCCCAACCCCAGAGCGGGCTCCAGCCATTCAGAGCATGGCCGTCGGAGCTGACTCAAAACACACTTCGATTTTTGTTTAGTGGCCGATGACATTAGGTCAGTGTTACGCCTCCTGCATTATAAAATGAATATTTTTATTTAATTCACAAACGTCCTTCTCAACGGGGCTCATGGTCTCAGAAATGTGCCTACCAGTGTTAAAAATATTCATTTTATAGAGGCAGAAGGTGTAACAATGATCTAATGTCATTGGTCACAATAGAAAAATCTAAGTATATGACAGGGGGTACCGATGCAGACTTAATGAGTGGAATTTGGTTTTACGTGTTTACATTTGAAACTGCTTATTTTTCTCAACATTTACACAAAATTACAAGTTTGCTGATGAAATGAGAGCAAAAATATCACATTGCGTATTACACTGCCTGATATTACAAACAAACAAACAAACAAAAACAAAAAAGGAGACGTACATGAATATTGTTTTCTAAATAAAATACAGAACTACTACTAAAATGGCTAAAGGACAATATTCCTTTGTAACGCTTAATCCGAGATCAATGTAAAAAAAAATAATCCAATTCGAATCCTCGTCCAGTCAACATATTACGTGACTTCTAAAAGATCGATAAGGCTGGAACGCGTCTGCTCCTATTTTAGTTTATGCAATAACACTACTGCTGACTTTGCTCCTTGTGGCATCCATGAGTACACCTACATTTTTATTCGTGTAAATAAACAAGCACTTAGTTCCTTAGCACTAAATCAACTACAGCCCGTGAACTTCCATAAATACTAAATTGGCGGAGTATGAACATACGTAACTACAACTATAACAAACGTTTCAGTTTTTACTATTTTAGCGTAATTCTTGCCATAATTAAATTTTTACGATTCTATCTTTTTAGCAAACTACCTATCTATCTACATATCTAGCTAGCTAGTTATCTATCTAGCGATATCTAGTTACCTTTTTTTCTTTAATTTATTTGTTGAAATTTTGGCAATTACACAGTTCAGTAAGTTCACTTAACAACAAAACTCGTGGTGTAGGAAACTCAAAAGCTCTACTTTGACAAATTAACTGAAAAAATTAATGAATGCTTCGAAAGGGAACCTATTTTTAATTCTAGTTGGGAAGTCATTTAATGGGACCAAGTTGTAGTGAACTGCTTTGTTTTTTTTGCACTTAGTTTGGAGTAAAAGTTATTGGAAAGGTGGGCGATATGTTTGATGATCGGTGATATTTAGTTCTTTAGCTATCTGTCTCTCGCTATGTGTATTTTTATCTACAAATCTTTATAAATAGATACATAAAATACTTGAAATTGGTTAAAATTACGAGAAGGCCATAACATCGACAAGGTAGCGAATTGTTTCATTCGACTGATTATTAACTCCAGATTTCAGGAAAGACATATTATATAAAGGTTTACTTTTATGCCTGAAGAATTTAATATCGCGCTCTTCAGCCTCTGGTACGATTTACTGCTTTTTGATAATGCCGGTTTTCTTCAGTTCTTAAAACATAAATACTTCGTGATCTAGTGCAGTGTAAATCAAGAAGTGAAACAGTTTTGCATAGTTTTTCATTGTAATGTGTTAACGTGAAAATGTTGTGTCTCGAAGACATGTGAATGAAAAATGTGAATTCCATGTATGTGGAAAAGCAAATTCATTTTAATAAAACAAAACAATATAGTAAGCAAATGCCGTTCGAAATAAAACGTAACTAGAGGTGTAACTGGCCAGACTGATTGGATTCTATGACATACCCTTTCTCCGAGAAGACATGTTTACTTTTGCGTTTATTTCTTTCAATACACTGAAATACCGACTGCATTGTATGTTAAACCACTGAATAAGATGTGTGTTCCGCGATGTTCTACGAACCCGGACTCGCCCGTTAACAATGTACCTTCTCGAATACATCAGATGAACATTGCAAACACCAGTTTTCAGAAACGCCGCAAACCTCTTTCACAGCACTTCACGTTCTACACTTCCTTAAAAGATACCGTGATCGAGATGCTCAATGCACGATATTTATACGGCCTTGACCGGCAACAAACCCCTTGACCTTGCTTCTATGGCGTTAACACGGTATTCGTAAACCATTACGGACGATACTCATCAAGGACGGACGACCCGTTTACGGGACGCGAGGGAACCACAATTCGTAAAAACTTGCGTCTCCAGGCAAGCAATGATCTCCCGCCTGTTCCCCCTCCTCCTCCTCCTCCACCTCCCAAGCGCAGCCTGGTCCCGTTCAGCGAGAGGTAACGAGCCCTCCGGATCTGCCAATCCCTGCCTCCTTGGCGCTCCGGCCCGGCCCGGCCCCGGCCCCGCCCCACGCCGCTACCGGCTGCCCGCCCCGGGGCGACCGCGCCCACTCGGCAGTGGTGGCGGCCGGTGGAGGGAGAAGGGGGAGGGGGGGCGGTCGCCTCCCCGTGGCAGGTGCGCGCACTCTGAAACCGGTACCCGGCCCGGCCCACCGCCCGCGCAGGTGGAACATTCGCGAAGCCTATGACGACTGACGGCGAGCGAAATGGCTCAGGGCGTAACGCGCTGACGTCGCATTAGGCAGGCCCCGGGTTCAATCCCCGTACCGGGCCACCCGGGGTTTAGGTGGTTTCCCTCTGTCTGCCAGGCGAATGCGCGGATGGTTCTATTGAAAGGCCACGACCGCGAAACCGTCGGCGACGCTAGCCCAATTCGTGGGCTACGTGAAACCACCAACGTTGAGCGAATTCGAGACATAGCAGGTTCCTGGATGGGTGACCGACTAGCAACCCAGGAATCTAATGGTGCCGAGGCCAATTGCCCTTTACGGGAGACATAATGGCTAAATGTAAATGTAAATGACGCACTCTGGGGCGATACATCGACACAATGAGCCTGAATTATTTCATTATGAAACGAATTTCGTAGTCGATTCATTGAGTATATTTTGGTTCCAATTCATTAACTCTCTTTCACGAACTGCCTCTTTTTGGGTCATTTAATTTCCCTGTGATATGTTTGCAAGTTATTTGTACAAACATTTATCTTTCGCGCCAAGACACAAGTAAGTTACGAAAGGTCTTTTATTGTCGTTTCAATGTGTTATTAAGAATATTGCATTTTTAGTTTAAATGATTTATTAGAGTTTTTAGTAATTATAAAAAAGCATAAAGCGTATGAATTCAATTGAAAGACGATGCGTTCTTATGATTAACAATTAAGAACTTACTGACGATTCACTGTATGTTCCGCGTTTTGAGATAAAACGATTTAATCTCACAATGGTTAATGGTTGGCCTCTCTTTTGACTTAGTTCAGCTAAGAGACTGGTCATTACGATGCTGTATTTTTTTGCGTGGGTAAAAAAATTAAATTTTTATGATGTCGTAGGCGAACGTCTCGTCAGACAAGCGGAATATCCCGTAAGCTCATTTATAATCACTGACGTTCTGTACCACCAAACTGGTTCCTACCTTTAATAATTTCAGAATCCGATGCGAAGCAAATTTTCGAAGAGCGATCTTTCCTTATCTTCACCTAACCATCCAGTTAGGTTACGATAGGCAGTAAACTTCAAATGGGTTCAAGAGAGTTGTAAAGAAAATGCCTAACGATTCCTAGGGAGAATACAAGAAATTTGGGCAGAATCAAACCTAATGCAAAGATCCGAACGCGCGAAATATTTCAATGGAAACACTCTTTTACACTTTCTCACTTGTTGCACAAATTTCCATAACCAAATATACATTTCATTCCCTCGGAGAGAAATTGACATATCTGCTCGTTATCCCTACACATTTCAACCAGATATTAAGTAATCTCAGATTAGACAACGAGCGATATTGTTCTTCCGTGCTCGGCTTACGGGTGTAGTCACAGCGACGTGAACTCACCCAGAAAAATTAACGTGAATTGCGAATTAACTACTAGCAGAAAATGTGCAGTCGAATGCCAACTGCGATATATTAGAAGTACTTAAAATAGTCTCCATAAATGGAAAAACATTTTTCTCCCGCCAGTCTCGGATGCAAGCCTTTAGCTTCCACACAGTGCCATGCCCTGCGCTGCACAATTGAAGCGAGCCACGTGCGGTAGAGAAAAAAGAAACAGACGCAGCGGCGCGGCGCCTATTTCGCCAAACTGACACGTCCCCCGCTCCTCGAAAAGCAAGAATGCGCGCCGCTGCCGGTGAGCGGCGGGCGGGCGCGTCGACGCACAATAAGAGGCTGGGATCGGCGAAGCAAACGAACCCAAACAAGGGGCTCCGAAGCCTCCGTAACGAGCCCCGGGCGAGTCGGAAGGCCGAAGCGTCGGAGCAGAGGGCGAGAGGGGCAGCGAGGCGGCGCTGAGCGGTAGATGGCGGACCGGCGAAGGGCGGGGCTGAATGGGAAAGGGAGAGGCACGGTAAGGGCTGGGCGGGGTTGTGCGGGCTTGAATGAGATGGACTGGGCTTGGGATGTGTTGGACTGGGCTGGATTGCGTGGTGCTGGGCAGGTGTGGGGTGGGAATGGGAAATGAGAAGAGTAGGCCACGGTGAAACGGAGCAAGGCAAGCAAAAGGCTTACG